TTGAGTTTCACAGTGGCTGTGCTACCAGAAAGGATCCCATATTCCTGCGCTGGAAGCACATGCCTTCATTAGTCTCCAGAATGAGCAGGAGCTTTTCTCTTCTCACCACCACCCACCTGCCTCCCCCAGCTCCCTGTTGCTGACTGTGGTAGAGTGCTAGAATGGAGACTTGCCTGAGTCCCCTTGAGAGTTATGAAAGAATGGGAGCAAGCCAGAGAGCAGAACTGCTGAGAACAAAGAAATGTAAACAAAGAGATTTTCATGATAAATTCTGTGAAATATTGTGGTCAGTAACTATTTGCCTTCACATTACCAGAGCCAGGATTAAGCCATCTTTTTATCCTAATTAAATTATCATTTTTTAGTATTGGTCTAATTTATAATTATAGTGATTACAATAAGACCACTATTAAGAAAATCATTACTATTATCCTCTGGATTATTTGTTGATACTGTTTTACAATTGATTTCTAGCCTTATAGTTAACTCATGAGTAGTTATTAAATTTCTGTATTTCTCATTTTTAATAATCCATCATTCTGTTTAGATCGATAGAGAATTTAAAGTCCAAAAAGCTTTGTTTTCAGTTGGATTCCCCGTTCCCAAGCCTTTGCTGTACTGCAGTGATGCTTCTGTCATTGGAACAGAATTTTACGTGATGGAACATGTGCAGGTAAGTTAACACTTAATCTTATTTTGTTGTTGCTTTTATTTTTAATTATGGAGTTAGTTATGATGTTTTATTATATAAAGTTTTATTATGATATTAATAAATGATATATTTTATTTTTCAACATTTTAGGTAACTTAGTTTGCTTTTTTAAGGGCTCGAATTTTGTTTTAATTTGAGCACACACGATGAGGGAGGGACAGAATAGACTAGGAACAAATTAGTAATTAGGGTGTATTGACTCATTCTTAAATTTTCCACCAGGTGTCAGGAAAGAGCTATATGTAATGGCAATAACCAAATTGTCCAGAAGGTTGCAGGGGTTTGAAAACCGACTCCGCGAAGACTACTAACAAGTCACTGAGAACAATAACATTAAATTGTTTTTTAATTTGTGTTTGTAAAATGTAAGCTTAAAATAGTTTTGGCTTTTAGGTTCATCTTGGCATGTATTCCCTTTGAAATATATACTCAGATTAAACATGTTTTACAAATGAATGTTTTTCTAGCATATCCTACAAAGTATTGGTTTTGGTTGCAAAACATTTAAATTATTTGTTGTAATCATTTCCATAGGGTCGAATCTTTCGTAATTTCACAATTCCTGGTGTTAGCCCAGCTGAACGCTCAGCCATATATGTGGCCATGATCGAAACCTTGGCTCAGATACATTCCTTGAATATACAGTCATTGCAGCTGGAAGAATATGGTACAGGTGCTGGGTACTGCAAAAGACAGGTAATGCTTCCACATAGAGAGCTACTTTTTTCAAGTTCTTGGAAATAATATATGTTATTCGTCCAAATAAAAACATTATTGTATAGTTTTCTGAAACTTGGTTATGACTTTTAACATTATCTTTCAGACTGACTTATTTTTAGCATAAAATTATTTAATATTTTTAGATCAGATTTTGTTCAGCAAAATCTTCTGTTTCAGACTCTTCATTTGCCAATATATTTTCTATAGTTTCTAAGTAGGGCTAGCAGATGCTATTTATTAAGCTTGACTGTGTGTTTAATACCTGCTGAGTATTGTGTTAAATATCAAGAAAATAGAAATAGGTTCTTCCCCTAAAAGAACTTGTGAGCATTTCTGAGAGATCTATACACGAATCTCATGTACATGAAATTTGAGAATGTATAAAAGAGTATATAATCTAGTAGTAAATTGTTTGGTACTCATCACAAAAGCTGTGCCATCTGGAGGGTGGAGACTGGTATGTCCTTGCTTAGGTGGGGAAAGCTTCTTGGGAGAGATATGCCTTGCAATGAGTATTTAAGGAAAGATAAAATTTAGAGTGTTGGAGAAGAGATGGTGAGCATTTCAAATCAAAGGAAAGCAAGACTAGATGTGTATGGGACTGTTTCCCTTTGCGAGCATGTCATTTTGGGGGGCTGAGAGAGAGAAAGGAACTAAGGTTTAGAGAGTATGGCACTTTATGCCTGATCAGGTAATACACAAGTAAGCAGCTTACACATAATTTAAACCCAGATCAGTATGACTCCAGAAGTAAAGTTCTTTGCTCTATTGCACTATACCTTGGGAAATGGAGAGAGATATATAATATAGTAAATAATATGGTCCCACTTTTTGGAGGACTTTGAAGTTGATTTCTTTGCATTCATTTCTAAGAACAATATAATAGTCTTTTCACCTACTCATACCTATAATATCATTTAGAAGATTGAAAAGTAAAAATCTCCCTTTTCCTGGACACCAGTTTCCCTTTCTCAAGGGTTGCTTATTTCTTGTGATCCCTTCTAGAAATTGTCTATGCCTAATTATTTGTGCACATGTATGTATATGTATGCATTTTTTTTCTTCCATAAAATAGTTGCTGAGTAAAGACTAGAACCCACATCACTTGACATCTAGGCCAGTATATTTTTCCCTGAGAAAAGTAAGGTAAGTAAAATGGAACTAGATGGAAAAGAGACTTAAATGTTTAGGTTTCTAGTTTGATATAAGCGTCTTGAGCATTTAGGAGTAAAACGAAATTTGATATAATTGAATTTTGTTATATAATTGCTGGATCTTACATTCTACTTTTAGCTCTATTATTTTTCTTATTTATATCTCTTTAGGTATCAATCTGGACAAATCAATATCAAGCTGCAGCTCATCAGGACATTCCTGCCATGAAACAGCTATCTGAGTGGCTAATGAAAAACTTGCCAGATAATGACAATGAGAAATAGCTGCTATACTGTATTGTTTTTTACTTGTTTTTTTAAATTTTTTTTTTCAAATATTTTCAGTCTACAGTTGGTTGAATCTGCAGATGGGGAACCCGCAGAACAGAGGGCTGATAGTATTTGATCTATATCATTTGATTCATTAATATTTTAAGAGCCTATTTTTAAATTTAATATGTTCTATAACTGTAGTACTTTTCTGTTCTTAAGCAAGTAGGGAAAAATCCAGACCTGAATCTCCTAATGGATTATATGTTGTTTATTGAGATGTTTAAATTTTAGGATTAATCATAATATGCTGAAAACAATGGTAAACTACCATAATTACCAAATTGTTTTTCCCCTTTTGTATTTAATCTCATATTTAAAAATCATTTCTTATAAGACTAAAGTTGACAAACAGGTATCATTTTCTGTCAGACAAGCAGGGTTTTCAATAGTTTGGGAGAGATATTTAAAAAAAAATAATATCAAAAGGCATAGCTTTTAGTTATTGAGTTGCAATACTAATTTGTTAACATAAATCATTATCTTTTAATGTTTTAGGGTTATATAGTAGTTAGTAAAATGTCTTCTTTTTTTTTTTCTTTTTGTCTTTTTTCGTGACGGGCAATGGATCGCAACCCTCAGTGTTGCGCCCGTACCGGACCGGGACCAGCAACGGGATCGCAACCCTTGGTGTTGCTCCCGCACCCCGCTCAGCCAGTGAGCGGCCGGTCTGCATGTGGGATCCGAACCCTCGGCGGGAGCGCCGCCGCGCTTCCCAAGCAGCGCACTGTAGCAGTGCGCCACCAGGCCGGCCCAAATGTCTTCTATTTTATACCCAGTAATCTCATAAATATTAGTTAAATCAATTTTGATCAATTTCTGCCTCCTATAAATATTGTAGCTAATTCTTCATGGAAAGTAACATATGGTTGGTAGAATTCAAGTTAACTAGCACTTATTAATTATCAGCTATGTTCCCTGAAACATGGGACTGGAAAAGAAATATTTAGCTTTAATGAACTCAAAATAGAGATGGAGAGAAAAGATACCGAGCTAACAGCAAGAGAACAATATATACCCAGGTGCTGAAGTATATCACACAAAGTGACTACAAGAGCAGTCAAACAAGGAAAGATATCCACCCTGGACTGGCATTAAGAGCTTTAAATTTTAATTAATAGTTTATCTTTTCTACCTTTTTAAAAAATTTTCACAATAGGAAATTAGACTATTTTTCAAAATATTTTAACATTTATTTGTACATATTTGTAGGGTACAGTGTGTTGTCTCAGTACATGCATATACTGCACAATGATTCGCTTAGGGTAGATAACATAGTTTTGTACCCATTAGTCCACCTCTTTTCCTCCTCCTCCTCCCCCAGCTCCCTACCCTCTGCCTCTGGTAACCATTATTCTGCTGTCTACTTCTATGCGAACCACTTTTTTTTTTTAGATTCCACCTATGAATGGTATCATTCAGTATTTGTCTTTTTGTGCCTGACTTTATTAATGTGATGGTTTCCAGTTCCATCCATGTTTCTGCAAATGATAGGATATCTTTTTTTTTTTTTTAATCTATACCTTAGTAGTATGTATCACACAGTTTTTTAATCCATTCATCCATTAATGGACATTTAGGTTGATTCCATCTCTGGCTATTGTGAATAGTGCTGCAATGAACATGGGAGAATCTATACCTTAGTAGTATGTATCACACAGTTTTTTAATCCATTCATCCATTTATGGACATTTAGGTTGATTCCATCTCTGGCTATTGTGAATAGTGCTGCAATGAACATGGGAGTGCAGGTGTCTTTTTGACATATTGATTTCATTTTGTTTGGGTATATACTCAGTAGTGGGATAGCTGGGTTGTAGGGTAAATCTATTTTTAGTTCTCTGAGGAAACTCCATACTGTTTTCCACAGTGGCTGTACCAATTTACATTCCTACTGGCAATGTAGGAAACTTCCTTATTCTTCTCATCCCCACAAGCATTTGTTATTTTTGGTCTTGTTGGTAATAGTCATTCTAACTGGAGTGAGATGATATCATTGTGGTTTTAATTTGCGTTTCTCTGATGATTAGTGATGTTGAACATCTTTTCATGTGCCTGTTGGCCATTTGTATGTCTTCATTTGAGAAATGTCTGTTCAGGTCCTTTGCACATTTTTTGATTGGGTTATTTGGCTTTTTGCAATTGAGTTAAGTTTCATATTTATACTGGATATTAGCTCATTGTCTGATGTGTGGTTTGCGAACACTTTCTCCCATTTTGTAGGTTGTCTCTTCACTTTATTAACAGTGTTTCTCACTGTGCAGAAGCTTTTTAGTTTGATGTAGTCCAATTTATGTATTTTTGCTTTAGTTTCCTGTTCCTTTGTAGTCTCACTCAAAAAAGCGCTGTCCACTCCCATTTTGTGTAGTGTTTCCCCTATGTTTTCTTCTAGTAGTTTCATAGATGCGGGTCTTAAATTTAGGTCTTTGATCCATTTTGAATTGATTTTTGTGTATGGTGAGAGATAGAGGTCTAGTTTCAATCTTCTGTATGTGGATCTTCAGTTTTTCCAGCACCATTTTTTGAGGAGACTGTTTCTTTTTTCATCAGGTCCACAAATTACAGAATCAGCCCCTGGGTTATATAGCAAGTTGAGTATGTGTATGTATGTGCTTACTTGTGTATATATTTCTAGGGATATGATTGAAAGCTTTCTTTTTTTTTCTTTAAGGTTAAGGATTTTGTCTTTATTTTTTCTTGTCTTTGCATCTAGAGTTCATATGGTACATGATCAATAAATGAGAACCTACTAGACTAGGAGCTCCTTTAAAGCAAAGATGAATCTTTTCTTCTTTCTGTAGCAGGTGCTTACATGATTCTGAATGAATCTATGTTGAAAGAATTGATTTTAGTCAATTAATCACTAAGTAACCATTTCTATCTTATACATTTATGCTTAATGTTAATTCCCTAGCAGTGCGACCTTAAATCAAATTACTTAGCTCCTCTCTATGCCTGTTTTTAACTTTTTATTTTGAAATAAATATAGACTCACAAGAAGTTATAAAAATAGTACAGAGTAGTCCTGCATATCTATCATTCACATTCCCCAAAATGGATCTTACACAACTGCAGTATATTGTCAAAGCCAGGAAATTGACACTGTGTGCCTTTTAAATTGAAAAAAAAAAAACCCAAAAAACTGAAATTACAGCTTTGCTGGGCAGCTAAAATGAAGTAATTGATATGGAGCAACTAGCTGGTCACTGCACATTGCTGATGCCCAACTTATTTCAGTTACACTCTCTTTTCCATCCTGGTTTCCTGGTTTCCCCTCTGATTACCTAGTCTACTTTTCCAAGACTGCCTGTCAAGCTCTATCTTTCAGAAAAATATTAAGGTATAAATAAATCTTTTATAATATGTACTAAAATTTAAACAGTGGTTATAAGGGAAGAAATTATGGGAAACTTATAATCATACATTTCTGTAATGTTTAAGGTTTGAGGTTTTTTATTTTTTAAAACAACAGCATATTTTATTTTTTTCTTGAAAGCATAATAAGGAAGAAAACAAAAACAATTTTAAATGACAAATCTTCTAAGAATGTGTGGGGTAATCCAGTAGGTGATTACTTATGGGTAGGGCAAAACAGCAGCATATTAAAATTCAGTTTCACAATCCCTAGTTATTTCCAGTTACGTATTTGTAAAGCATTTAAAGCATGTTTGAGCGAGTATTTCAGTAGTACAACATGCTCACTACAGTGTTTAAAAGAAATACAGTTTTCCTGGAAAATATTGTTGATTTTCCAAATATAAATCTTCCTGGTAGAGCAATGTTTAAGATTTTGGAGTTTAATGTAAAATCTGAATAATGGCATTTTGACTTGAAAAACATACATATTTAATTAGAAAAAGATAAATTGAGAGATATTTCATCTGCATTCATTCCTTAGTACTGAAATGGATTTAAGATAACAGATGTCGGGCCGGCCCGTGGCTCACTCGGTAGAGTGCGGTGCTAATAACACCAAGGCCCCGGGTTCGGATCCCACATAGGGATGGCCGGTTCGCTCACTGGCTGAGCGTGGTGCTGACAACACCAGGTCAAGGGTTAAGATCCCCTTACCGGTCATCTTTTTAAAAAAAAAAAAAAAAAAAAGATAACAGATGTCATCTGCCTTGCAGCCTTTTATATATAACTTATGAAGAAAAAAATAATTTAATATGCAAAATAAAACTTGTATCTTTAAGGGATTTTTGTTTTTAATTTCCCCATGGTCTCTAAAATATCAGTGTAGCTGGAGAAAAGCATAGTTATAAAATTTAATTTTATAACTACAAAATATGCAGGGATTTTTTAAAAACTTTTTACTGTACAGATAATTTTTAAAATGTTCTTCAGTAAATGCTTTTTAGTAGTTAATTTGTGCTGTTACAACAAATTACTACTATACATGGGGTGGTTTAAACAACAAACACTTGGGCCGACCCTGAGGCTCATTTGGGAGAGTACGGCGCTGGGAGCACCAAGGCCGCAGGTTCGGATCCTATATAGGGATGGCTGGTGCGCTCACTGGCTGAGCACGGTGCGGACGACACCGAGCCAAAGGTTATGATCCCCTTACTGGTCACAAAAGAAAAAAAGCAACAAACACTTATTTCTCACAGTTATGAAGGCCAGGAAGTCCAAGATCAAGGTGCTGAGAGACCAAGTGTCAGTGAGGCCTGCTTTCTGGTTTGCAGATGGCCATTTTCTTGCTGTGTTCTCACATGGTGGAGAGAGAGAGAAAAAAAAAAAAAGGAAGAAAGTTCTTTCTTTTCTCTTCTTATAAAGGCATAAATCCCATCTCAAGGGCCTTACCCTCATGACCTAATTACCTCCCAAAGGCCCCAATCCCTAATACCATCCATTGAGGGTTAAGATTTCAACATACAGATTTTGGGGAGGACACAAATATTCTTTATCTACTATTTTTTTGATTATGTTTTGTTTTGAAAGGTAATATTCATACATATTAATAAAATTCAATAGTGTAAAAAAGATACATAGAAAAATAAACCTTTCTCTATAGAAGATAATCAACAAAATGAAAAGCTTTCAGTTGTGCCGAGGTTTCAGAAAAATTGTTCAATGATTTTATTAATAAGTTCTTTAGCGGCAGGAAGATAAACTAATAAATGTTTATGTCAACCACTAGGAGTTATGTTGAGCTTTTTATAGCTGTGAACACAAACGGTTGAATGTCCTGTGTTCTTAACATAAGGACATGTATTCCTTTGATACATGTTGTTACAAAGTAGGAAGAGAAAAGCTTTCTTTTTTATTGGTTCCAAGTGACATAATGATTATTTTATCATGTTGCTGTATAATGATGAATTTTTTATTCATAAAAAAACAGTATCTTTTATAACAATTATGTTTTTAATCTACAGCATGAAATAACTTAGTTTAAAAAGTACTATTGCTGTAACAGTGTATATTTGTTATGTAGTTAGAGTCATCACCCAACCAAATGCTTAGTTATATATAGCATAGCATGGATTCTTGAAGTATAAGTAATTAGGTATTAGAATTTCTTCTTTACAATTACTCCCAGTTGAGAAATTTCAACTACTTTTGCCTCTGCTCATTAGTAGAGATATTAAAGCTGTGTAAAATAAAATGCAGAAGGATTGATGGCCGGTTATGGAAACAGAGGACTTGGCTCTACACAATCAAGGCTAATTGGTTATTTCATAAATGAGATGTGCCACGATGGATAAAGACCTCAACTATGGCATCAGATTGGCTTTTGATGGAAAATAGGATTTTGAACGTACTCTATTTCATTTATTTCCGTATTTTAGTTGTTTTGAATTTTAATATGTTAAAGACCTCTATTTTCTATTTCAGTCCCGAGTTATAGCAGTAGTGGACTGGGAGCTTTCAACCGTTGGTCATCCTTTGTCAGACTTAGCTCATCTTTCCATGTTCTACTTTTGGCCAAGGACAGTTCCAGTGATAAATCAATATCCTGGTATTCAAGAAAATATAGGTATAAAAACATAATGTTGTCTAAATTGCTATTAAGATAAAATTAAAATTAATCATTAAAAATATATAATTATCTTGCAGTTTGAGAGAAATCAGTTCTTTATTGATTTTTCTGAATTTAGCATTCCAGAAAAGTAATCTTTTCTATATAATGTTCTTTTGGGAATCAACACTTAGAACATGTTTTGTTGTGTGTATTAACGGCTATATGTTTTATATATATATAAAACAAAATATAGTATATATTATATTATATACATTATATATATATTCCATATTGACATTTTGAAATATTCACCATGACATTTTTATTAAAGTTTATATTACATGCTCTTTTCATAGGGATACCATCAATGGAAGAACTGATTTCTATATATTGCCGCTGCAGGGGAATTAGTTCTATTCTTCCTAACTGGAATTTCTTCCTTTCCCTTTCATATTTTAAAATGGCTGGAATAGCACAGGTAATTAATTGTATAATACATGGATTTAACCATTGTTTACTATTGCACTGTTGGTAATATTTTCTGGTCTTCAGGGTTTTTATATTCTTTATCCTTAGATCATTTTGCTTCTCGTAATGACAAGTATGAAAGATGGGTAAAATATAAATCCAGAATTTATAGAATAGGAATTTGGCAAGGGAAAAATTTGAGTAGCAAAGTGTGTTATCACTTTTTTGTATAATAAACTTACAAAATGGAGGGAGGGAGAGGGAAAGATGAAATGACAAAAAGATAAAAGCATGTGAGAATTGGTCATTTCCTGAATATCCAGTGTAAGAAAAAGCTAAAATCTTTTGATTATCTCTGCTTCAGACTATAAAATCACTTATTAACCAGGGCTGATGATAAGGGAAGAATTATCTTTGTATTTCCTAGAGGCTAATACAGTACCTAGCATGTAATATGCTCTCAATATGTTTTTAAGTGAATAGATGAATGAAATTTTTCATTTTCTAACAGCCATATTTATATGATTACTTTTGAGAGGAAATTGAGCACAAATTTAGTTCTTTTCTAAGTACATTTAATTTAAACAAATGCCTTCTTTTTAATACTAATCCAGTTTTCAGGTACTCTGAATCTTGGGGTTTAAGAAACTGAGATGCTTCATCAGTGGCAAGGGGCTAGGATTTAGAGGAAGAATAGGTAAATAAGAGACTTTAGAAACAAAAAAGAGTGAGAAAAGAAAGATTAAGGAAAATTCTGGTTATTTTTCTTGTACTCAGAGTTCATGCTATTCACGAACAACTGAAATGTGTCTTCTAGGAAATAGTTGTGTTAAAATCTCATCCTATATTCTAAGAGTTGATCATGTTGAATGAATGGGTTTCTCAAAATGGGTACATTTCTGTATCTGTCAGTTTCCACAAATTGCATACCAAATAGGCTTTAAGTTTAAAATGGCTTTTCATTTCAGATAAAAGTTTGACATGGATTGATTGAAATTAAAATGTACATCATAAACCTTATGGCAGTAGCTTTAGAAATGATATACATTCCATTCTAACTGCAAATAGGAAATTGGAAATGGTGGAAAATGATTATAGTGTTTTATTGCATAAAGAATTATATAAGGAAGATAAAATAATAGAATTCAGTTGTTTGTGTTTGAGGGATAGAGAGGGTTTATTATGTTGGAAGTACAGAAATGAAGAATTATGATATCAAAACTGATTAGCATTGAACCAACACTGTTCAGAGGAGACAGTTTTACCTAAATAAGAGGTCCAAAAATTGTAAAATATTCTTAGAGGTCAGCTCATTGTGCTTTCTTTTGTCTTTGATCTTATTTGGTTTCTTTAGATATACCCTCGCTATAAAGGGAGGTGAGTGATCTTTAGAGGTGATATAACTTGCAAATTTGGTATTTTCGGTAACTGATGAGATCATTTTTAAGTTTGGTTTGATTGTCAGTTACAGTTCTGCTAGGATGAGAGTTTATTAACTAGATGATGCAAGTATGACTGTTTAATTTGAGAGGTATAATTACCTTTGCATATAATTACTTTTGCAAATGCATTGATAATCCAATTTACACCTTTATACCCTGTGAGTTTAGTACTCCATATAGCTGAGAAACAGTGGAAAGACTGATTGGAAGGTTGAAGGACAGTTTTCAATGAATTTTAATTGCTCTATGTTAATTTACTTACAGGGAGTATATAGTAGATATCTTCTGGGAAATAATTCATCTGAGGATAGCTTTCTGTTTGCCAATGTTGTGCAACCTTTGGCAGAAACTGGATTACAACTCTCAAAAAGGTAAGGAAAACAGATTCCTTGGCTAACTCAAATTAGTGCCTTTATTAGGTGTATGAAAGTTATAAACTTTGGCTAGAGAGTAAGAATTATTTTTATTGCTTACACCAGGATCCCTGCTACCAATCTCAATAGTCTTTTTGGTAAATCTCTTAAATACCTAAAAATAAACTAACCTAAAATATAAAGAAAATTCCCATACTTATGGTTGAAGGTACTTTTTTTTTTTTTTGCCATCTTAAATGTGTAAACTTTTAAGAATATAGATAAAACTCCCAAATGTTTTCTTCTAATATTTGTTACTTAAATATACCCATTTAAAATCGTGTGCTATATAAGATGACTTATTAATTTAGAAATATTGCTTTCTTCCACCGTCACATCTCATGAAATTTTATTCAGACATTTCATAAGCATCTTTGGAATTCATGCCTCCATCAGTGAAACACTTTTTGAGGCATGTAACATATTCCCATTACTTACTGAATGCATGTATGATGGTGTCCCCAGAAATTCTGCCTAAGCCACAAGAATCCATGGCATAATGTTAGGACAGTTGTGTTTTTTCTACAATTCATCTTATGGATGGATATTTGTGATCTCCACAACATAACAACTGACTGTGTTGTGCTTCATAACGACCTTAAAAGGTCCTCTTTATAATGACATCCAGCAGTTGTATTTATGAGGCACATACTAAGAATAGTGATTAAGCTCAATTTCTTTGTTTCCTCTTTTAGAGATTCTGACAGATTACTTCAATAAAGATTTAAAACTGATATTGATTGAGGTCATGCCAGGCTTATATGTTTTCCCCAAATAGTTCTTTAAGCATTAAAGTTTCATTTTCAATATAAAGTGATTCTGCATTCACCTCATAATATGAAAGACTTAAAAAAGTACAAAATATGGCAACTCCTTCTGAGGGATATTTTTGGGGAGCTGGGGGAGGCT